CCCCTCCCCGGGGTGATTTCTCGCTTTCCATCTCTCTCTCTCTCTCTCGTGCATGCACTCTTTCTATAGCAAAAAAATCTTTATTAAAAAAAAAATTATGGGGCCAGCAGGTGGTGTGGTGGTTAAGGGTGATCGACTCCTACATGGCTGACTGTGGTTCAAGTCCTGAACCTGGCGGCTTGCTTTCTCACTTTCCTTCTTGCCTTGTTTCTTTCTGGTCAGATTTTAAAATAATTAATGAATAAAGTTAAATATAATTCTTAAAAAAAAAAAAAAAGGGCTCATGCCAGGTGTGTGTGTATAAGAGGAGAATGGAAGAGTAAGGGATGCGTGGCCATCCCACCTTGGGGGTGATTTCTCACTTTCCATCTCTCTGTCTCTCCCATAAGTGCACATTGCTCTATAGCAGAAATCTCTTAAAAACAAAACAAAAACAAACCAAGCGCATGTTTGTGTGTGCCCAAAATCCTAAGCGGAGAAGGAATTGCAGTGTGACCATCCCCCAATGGGGTGATTTCTCACTGTCTGACTCTCTGTCTCTCCAGTGAGTGCATGCTCCCTGTAGTAAAAATTTCTTAAAAAAAAGCCCTCTTCCTTCCCATTTGATCCCCAACCCTCTTGCTAAATAAGGATCTCTAATCCTAGCAGAGCCTAAAGTTGCAGGGATGGGAAACAAGTTCTTTTATTGATCACTGCGACCATCATCAGAGCCGATTCTACTTCCACTCACACTTCAGTGTTGTGCTTTTTTTTTTTTTTAAATTTTTTTTTTTATATAAAGTTTTTACTATAGGGCTGTGCACTAGCCAGAGAGATAAGGTAGAAAAAGAAAAAGGTGAGAAATTACCCCCCCCCCCGGGGGTCGGCCATGCTGCAACCCGTTCTCCATTCTCTCAGGACCTTGGGCGCGCGCACACACACACCCAGCGTGATTTTCATGCCCCTGGGTCCAGGACTCGAACCATGCTGTCAGCCAGCCATATGGGGTCCATTGCCTTAGCCACCACACTACCTGCTGGCCCTTGTATTGTAATTTGAGGGTTTTTTATTTTTTCATTTTGGAGATCATCCCATGTCCTCTGAGGCTTACTGCTTCTTGGTGTTCTAGTGTATGGTGAGATCAGGGCTCGGAGCCTGCTGTTACACTTGCTTTTGTGTTAAGGTTTACGTGGTCTGAGCTGATGTAGCTAAATCACTTCTCTCTGGATGGTGGTGCTGGCTGAAGCACTGAGGGTAGGGAAGTCATCTTCGCTGGGATGCTGTCAGTGTCAGTGAAGGCAAATTGCTGTCCCCTTCAGAGTGGAAGAGGTCCAGTGTGATTAACACCCCAGTGGCTGGCCTTGCTCTTTGAAGAATTGTAACATATGGGGCCTTAGAGCTGGCTTTTACTGATAGCAGGTTGGCCACTCACTAGCAACAGTAGCCATGTGACCTTGGGTGAGTTACTTAATTTCTCTGTCTCATTTTCACATCTGAAACAAACAGGATAATAGTATCTACCTCACAGATTTATTGTACTGATTAAAGGAGAAAATATATGTAAAGCATTTAGAATAATATTTGGCACTTAAGTGCTAGGTAAATAGTAACTGTTATTAATTCTTCAAAGTTGGGGGATAATTAGTTTTTATTGGGACTAGCAGTTAGCGTAATGGCTATGTCCCTGGACTCCCATGTAGTCGACCATGGTTTAAGCCCTAGACCTGGTGGCTTAAACTCACACCGCGCGCTTGCGTGCTTGCCCAAGATCCCGAGAGGAGAATGGAGGAGAAGGGATTGCGGCGTGGCCATACCCCCTGGGGAGTGATTTCTCGCTTTCTGTGTCTCTGTCTCTTTCTCTCTTTCTGGCAAATGCATGTGCCCTATAGCAAAAACCTCTAAAAAAAATTAGTTTTTATTTTATTTTACCTTTTTAAAAAATAATTATTTAATTTTTGTTTATTATTATTAATTTTTAATTTGACCAGAAAGAGACAGAGAGAGAGAGAGAGAGAGAGAGAGAAGGAAAGTGAGAAAAGCAAGCTGCCAGGTCTAGGACTTGAACTGTGTTCAGCCATGTGGTAGCTCAATGTCTTCACCAGCATGCCACCTACCAGCTGCATTTTACTTTTCGGGGGAGGAGATTTTTGCTATAGGGTGTGTGCACTCGACAGACACAGAGAAATCACCCCTCAGAGGGATGTCCATGCCACAGTCCCTTCTCCTCCATTCTGTTCTTGGGATTTTGGGCCTGCATGTACATGCATCCAGCGTGAGTTCTAAGCCACTGGGTCTGGGACTTGAACTGTGGTCGATCATGGGAGTCCAATGCCTAAACCGCTATGCCACCTGCTGGCCTCCTTCACTTTACTATTTAAAGTTTATTTCCTTCATAAGAGGAAGACAGCGAGTGCCACCAGTAGAGTTTGAACATCTCGATCCATCCCCAGCTTCAGCAAGCCCTGGGTAACGATGTGCACGCCTGGCCTACTCAAGTCTCTGGGCACAAACCCAGGTCATCCGTGTGGGTTAGCCTCATAGAGTGCTGGACTTTCCCATTATGTCACCCTCCTGTCCCTCCAGACTTTGATTTCTAGCCTTTTCTCTTGACCTAGGGACTGTGTTGAACATTTAGGCTTCTTGAATAATCAGGGCTCAAAGCTAGGAATGAGTTAACCAGAGTGACTTGGTGGACCTGTTCAGAATTGAAGTGACTGCTAGGTAAAACTTTAGGTTATAAAGCCAGCTTCTGTAATCTTTCTATTCATGGGTGCCTCTCTGAATAGATTTGGTATTTAAATATTCTCAGTCACTTATCACACTTGTTTTGCCCTTGAATCTGTAAACTTATGTGTAATCTTTTTTTAAAATAAAAAGCAGTGGGACCAGCAGAGGGGCATAATGGATACGTCGCTGGATTTTCATGTGGTCAACCATGGTTCGAGTCCCGGACCCGGTGGCTTAAGATTCATGCTGGGCACATGTGCATGCATGCCTAAAATCCAGAGAGGAAGATGGAAGAGAAGGGATTGTGATGTGGCCGTCTCCCCGGGGGGTTGGGGGTGGGGAGTGGTTTTTTGCTTTGTCTTTCTTTCTTTCCATCTCTCTGGTGAGTGCACACATCCGATAGCAAAAATCTCTTTTTTAAAAAAAGAGGTGTTTTTTATTTCCCAAGGCCAGTCTTGTTACCCATGCTCCTAATTCCATCAGTCAGTTATCAGATGCTCAGACCTACCCGGTGCTAGACACTGAGGATACTAGATGAAGAAGACAGATGTCCCAGTGCTCACAGAACTTAAGCACAGTGGGGCAGACAGATGGCGCACAGGGCAGTCCGGTGAGCACAGTGCTGTCACAGCATGGAGGTGGACAGGGTGCTGTTGGAGCAGCATGGGAGGACGAGAATGCCCAAAGAGAGTTGAGAAGAGAATCCTGAAGGTAAACATAAAAAGTTGTAGAGATGGAGAAGTTGCTGGTAGAGAGGCAGGAGGTGTCACAGAAGCTGAACAGAAGAGTGCATCTCAGGACAGAGGTAGTGATCAACTGATACTGCTAAGCTGCAAGCCAAGGTCCTTTTCCCGCTTTCCGTTGGAAATATTTGGCCCTAGGAGTTACTTCTGTGTAAATTCCATGCATGTCTTTTTATTCTGATCCATTAGCTCCTGAACTCCCATAGGGTTTGTATGAGTGAGTTTGGTAGGTGAGAGATACTACAGCCTTTGAATTCATTTTGTTCCTGAGTGTCAAGTTGTACATGTTTGGATAATGGGGGTTTGTCAAGAACTTTATCTGAATCTGTTTTGCTCTCATGGTGGAATGGGGAGGATTAGGTTAGCTGGGGATACACAAGTCTCCTTTTATCTGGTTCAGTGAAAATTGCTCAAGTCCTTGTGACAAACAGTTATTCCTAGACTCTACATTTCCTGTTCTGTTTACTGGGATTTGAATTGCAACCAGCTATGTGGGATCTGTCTAGCTCCACATGTATACAGTGCTTAATCACTGTGCTGTTGAGCCAGTCACTTGAATTTTCTTTTTAAAGAATTACTTATTTAATTTTACTTACTATTTTTAACTTGCTTTAGGGCACATGCACTCAGAGAGAGAGAGAGAGAGAGAGAGAGAGAGAGAGCGAGCGAGCGAGCTACCAGGTCCAGGACTCAAACCACGCTCGGCCATGTAGGAGTCCATCGTCTTCACCACCATGTCACCTGTTGGTCCCTCTCTTGAACTTTTTGAAAAATAAAGCTTTCTGTCTCTCCTGAGCGAACGAGAGAGAGAAGCACTCTCAATGGGATGGGATGTTTGTGCCATGATCCACCCCGGCCTCAGCCAGCTCTAGATCATGAGTACAGCAGCACTCACTGTGTTCAGGGAGGTCTCTGGTTGTGAGTCTGGAATCTTCCTGTGTGGGTTAGCTTTTCAGAGTGTTGCATTACCTCTGCACCATCTCTGGCCTTCTATGTGAACTTGCTGAAGAACTCCTTGTGGCTTAGACTCTCTTTTCTCACTCTGCATATTCTCTGGGTGATCCCACTCATGAGACTCAGCCATGGTAGCACACGCTGGTCAATGCCATTGTGTGGCCCGCTGAGGGCATATGGGGAGGCTTGGGTTTGTTTCCTGGGCTGCCCTAAAAAGTCAGGCATGGTTCCATGCATCTGTAGTCCCTGCTAGTCTGGAGCCTGAGAGAAGAGGATTACACATCAATACCATCTTTAAAAAACAAACAGGACCAGCAGTTAGCATAATGGCTATGTCGCTGAACTCCCATGTAGTTGACCATGGTTTGAGCCCCGGACCTGGTGGCTTAAATTCATGCAGGGCGCATGTGCGTGTGTGCCTAAGATCCCAAGAGGAGAATGGAGGAGAAAGGATTGCAGCGTGGCCATTCCCCCCGGGGGGTGATTTCTCACTTTCTGCCTCTCTGTCTATCTCTATCTTTCTGGCAGGGCACTTGCCCTGTAGCCAAAAAAACAAAAAAAAACAAAAACCAAAAAAACCACACACACAAAACGCAAACTCATAAAGATTGCCTTGTTATTGAGGCCAGTCAGTGACTAGCTCAGAGGTAGAACACGGTAATGTAGAAAGGCTCTAGGTTCTGGTCCAAACATCCCTTACTATGCCGAGCACATACATGCCCAGGATCTGGAGCTGACTGAAGCTGAGGCTAAGGGTGGGTTGTGCCATGGAGATCCTGTTGGGAGTGCTGTTTCTGTCTCCCTCTGGCTCATGGAGAAAATAAAAGAAATTCACAAAAATGATTGTCATATTGGTAGTTTGGATATTTTAAATAAAATGATCTAAATTACACAAAATTCAGACTCCACACATCTGTGCGTGTTTTTTGGAATGAACTCATGTGTGCAACCTAATTGAAATACTCTTTAGCCTACATAAAATCAAATGCTAATATCTGAGGCTACCTAAGTTACTCTCGAATACTCAAAATATAATTGAATCCTTTTTATTAGCTGAATTGAGAATCCGTGAGCTAAGAAATGCGTTAAGCTTGCTTTAAAAACCTATCATACTCTATTTTTTTATAGTGTTGATTTTATTCCTCTGTGTGGTTGTTCATATTGTCATAAAGTAATTTCTAAAGATTGCATTTTGTAGTTCTGTGAACATTTCGGTGGGATGAAAGGTTTTGTTTGATAAACACCGCCCTCTTGTGGTTAAAATAAGCAAAATGTTTTGCAAAACTGCTATAATGTTTCCATTTACATTAAATTTTTGGTAAAAGAACATAATTAATACAGTATTTTTGCTCAGGAATACATGTGACCATTTAGGTTTTCTCTTTCTTGGATTTTTCAAGTGTGTCTACTGTGTTTTCTTCTGTCAGTGCACATTTTCTCATGTGAATTGAAAGAGTTAAACATAAATGAAAACGTAAATGTTATGCTATTGAAGGGAAGGAAACCGTATTTAAGTGAAGAAGTGCTAACAGAAAAAGCAAGGATCATTGAGTTATAATACATAAAATTAATAAAATCTCCATTGAAAATTAACAGTAATAAAAAGATGTAGCATAAACTAGAATAAGTATTTGTAGGGCCAGCAGGCGGTGTGGTGGTTAATGGTGCTGGATTCCCACATGGCTTACTGCGGTTCAAGTCCCAGACCTGGCGGCTTGCCTTCTCTCTTTCTCTTGCTCTGTCTCTGGGCAAATTAAAAAATAATAACAACAAATGGAAACAATAAATAAATAATTTGGAAAAGAAAGAAAATGTATTTGTAGTAACTATGATAGTAAAAGTTTTAATATAGTTAATGTAAAATACAGAGCGCACACAAATGGTATAGTAAGTTAGTGGGCTATGGCCATGATGACTAGTTTATAGATGAGGAATTATAGTAATCAAAGCAAAAAGCTTGTTAAAATATGAGGCTGAAAACGTGTTAAAATATAAGGCTACTTCATATAATAGCATTCATGGGACCAGCAGATGGCATGATGGTTATGTCACTGGACTCCCATGTTGTGGACCACTGTTCAAGTCCTGGACCCAGCAGCTTAAAACTCTGCTAGGCATGTGTGTGTGTGCCCAAAATCCTGAGAGGAGAAGGGACTGCAGCATGGCCATCCTCCTGTGGGGTGATTTCTCATTTTCTGTTTCTCTGGCAAATGCAAACACCCTATAGCCAAAATCTCTAAAAGTAAATAATTAAACAGCATTTATGATATTAATAATAGTACTTTGGAGCATGCTAGAAAATCACCTGATTATTTTGAAAACTGGTAAATACAATAACAGAATCAAGTTTTTTTTTTTTTTTTTTTTTGCCCTTTTTTAGAGAGATTTTTACTATAGGGCACATACACTCACAGGAGAGACAGAAAGTAAAAAATCACCTCCCCCAGGAAAAATGGCCACGCTGCAGTCCCTTCTCCTCTTGGGATTTTGGGCAGGCACGCGCACATACACATTCCTGGCATGAGTTTGAAGCTGCTGGGTCCGGGACTGAAACCACGATTCACTACATGATGTAACCATTACACCACCTGCTGGTCCTCAAGTTACTTTTTCTGAGTAGCTCAGGAAACCAAATAATCAATGGAGGAAAGCACTTCTTTTTAGAAGGATTCTAGCATATAAATGAAAAAAGAAAGATCATTAGCACTTTTCAGTCCCAAAATAAAATAATGGGTCGAGGTAGTGATCATCAGTGCTGCTAAAGCAGTGAACGCCATGGGAGACGATAATAAATGCTCAGAGGGGCCACATGTGCCCCATTGATCCATCTTGGCTCCTCAAAAAGAGGAACTACAGATAGTTGCTGTGTTCTAATGTGGTAATGTGGTGTGACAGGAAGGATACAGTATTGCCTATAAAGTTTTTTTTTTTTAATTAAATGTCAGGAGGCACATGTGTATGTGTATGCATGAGGGGGACTCATTCCATCCAGAATTGTAATTTGGAATCAGGTAATTTAAACAGTCATCTCAGTTCTAAAATTTTCTAATTTTATCTTTCATGCACAGACTTATCATTTGTAGGGCTTTTTTTTGTTTGTTTTAATGCCAGAGTGTGTGTGTGCATGAGAGAGAAAGTACCCCCTATTATGCTGCAATCCTTTTTCTTCCAATTCTTCATCCATGAGCATGGGGACGCACCTAGTGTGCATTTTTTTTTTTTAAGTTTGCTCTAGGACATGTGTAACTGCCAGAGATGAAGAGGAAGAAAGAGTAAATTAAGAAAGCATCCCCTGGAGGGATGGCCATAAGTCAGTCTCCTCCCCTGTATTCTATTCTGTCTTGGGGATTTGGGGCACACACACAGTATGTTTCTCAAGCCACCCTGGTGTAGAACTCGAACTGCTCAGTAACCACCATACTGCTGACTGGCCCCTAGTGTTTTCAAGCTGATGGAGCGCAGACTGGCACCCTGATCCGACATAAGATCTGGCTCTCTCTATGTCTACACTACTTGCCTTTCCATTAAAAATAGAGGAACCTGGAACTCTTCTAAATTGCTGACGTACTATTTTTCCTGGCTGCTTTCAAGATTTTTTTTTGTACGTAGTTTTGAGTAGTGATATATTCTGTGATATATCTGGTTGTGGGTTTTTTGTTTTGTTTTGTTTTTGTTCTCCTCACATACAAAACTTCACACACCATGATTTTTGCAGTTAAGTCACTTGATGTTGGCCAGGTACCATTTTATCCCTAAAGTTTCATTGGCATCAAAATCTGACAATTAACCAGTGTTAAATCCTTAACTGTTTACAGAGCACAGCACATTAAGCTTTAGATGCTTGGCAATTAAACCACAGACGAGGAGGACAAGGCTCCCCATTCTACACGTTCAGAACCAGGTTTTCCCTGTCCCTACCTGGCCACTGTACACTGGTTCAAAGGGCGGCGGAGGCCACAGGTAGTTTACTTCAGAGGACACTAAACTGTGATCAGGAGGCACATTGTGATGTCACTCAGTGTCATGTACCACGCAGCCTGCCTCCAAGACTGCCTGGTAATTCTAGAATGGCAGGGCCAGCTGGTACAGACAGACAGACAACACGGTATTTAATCTTTGGAGACCTCCTACTCAGACTACGCATGCACGGTGACTTTGAACGTAACTCGTCCCAGGAACTTGTCACGATCATCCTGGTTTTTCAGGTTGGGTGACCCGTTGACCTTGCACTCGACTGTTACTTCTTTTCCATAGCTGTTGTGATCAAAGGGGACCTGGACAGCAACTAGTGGTTGTAAATATCCCACATGAAGTTTTTTCCCATAATATGGAAAATACTTTAAGTCCATAACTCCAAGATTAGGGTAGGTGTTTAAAGCTGGTGTGTGTTCCCCCTTCGCAGTACAGTCTATCCTTGGTTCTCCTTCAGGCTTTAATCCAATTATTCTGTTCATTTTCACAAGAATACAAGGGTTTCCTTGGGAATAGCCAAAATCAGAATCATTCATACCACTGCATGGTTGAAGTAACGTAAGAGGAAACGGACATGCAACATAACCTGGACCCTCCTGTTCAAAAAGCACTCCGTCTCGACAGCCTGTGACATCCTTCTGCTCTTGTGTAGTATATGGCTCTAGGAACTTCTTAAGGTCTTCAGTGTACCCTTTGTAGGAACCTGGGTTAGACATGCTGAATGAATAGTCCAGTGCAGTCTCTGGTTTTGGAAAAACTGTAAGCCCTGGACTAGGGACGTGGTCACGGTATTTTGGAACCTCATCGTTCAGAGTCTGAAGCATAACCCACATTGTGAATGAGAAAAGTGCGGCCAGGAACCCATAAAACACTAGGTAGAAGAGCAGGATCAAACTCCAGCTCTTGGCGGTGCGCCCCAGGAACTCCCCGGTGTTCCGGTTGTAGATGAAGAGCTTCCACTTGGCCAGCATCTGCTTGGAGGACTTGTCCTTCTTCGTCATGATGTGTGCGCGGAAGACCGGGGAGCGGCGGGCGCGAGAGGCGCGTGCGGGCTCTAGCGGCGCAGCGGAGCAGGGGACTGCGGACACCTCGCTGCCCTGACGCGGGCAGACTGCGCTCGCTCGCAGGCCAGGCCGGCCACTCCGACCGCAGGAGCCTGACGTCCCCGCCCGCCGCAGCCAATCCCCGCGCGCTCAGCCGCCGCCGCCCCTTTTGTGACTCTTGATGACATGAATGTTAGACCTTTTACACTGTCCCATTGTCTCTGTCCTTTTTTTTTTTTAAATCTTTTTTCCCTCTATATTCATCAGATTGGGTAATTCTATTACTTTGGCTTTGAGTTAACAGATTCTTTGCTCTGTTTTTTTCTGTTCTGGTATTGAACCCTTAGAACAAATTTAATTTTCTTTTTTCCCTATTTTTTACTTCCAATATTTTATTGTTTCATATGTAAATGTGAACATATGAAACAAAATAAAACATGAAATAAGTATATTTCTTTCTGAGACTCTTATCTATTTGTTTAAAGACTATTCACCCTGATTTCTTGAATGTAATTCTAAAGGCTGCTTTTTTTCTGATAATTCAATATTTTTATCTTGAGTTTATTATGTATAGCTTATCTTTTTTTAATGACTTACTAAGATTTTCCTGGTTTGTCATATGTCAGATAATTTTTGGATTATATGTTAGACATTGTGATAATATGATACTCTCGTCTTATTTAAATGATAGGGAAACTGTTTTTTTTTAATATTTTATTTTATTTAATTTATTCATTCATTTATTTTTTAATTTGACCAGAGAGAGACAGAGGGTGAGAGTGAGAGAGAGGAAGTGAGAAAGCAAGCCACTGGATTCAGGACTTGAACCCTGGTCGGCCATGTAGGAGTGTCCAGTGCCTTAACCACCACGCCACCCGCTGGTCCCTGTTTGTTTGTTTTTTAAGCAGGCATTTGACCCTGTAAGGTTCAAGTCACAAGTTTCTACTCACCTTCTGTGTACTAAAATTTAATGTCTAGTTTTCAAAGCCTTTACAGAACTATTTGGATCTGTCTTGCGTTTGTGCCACTTAGTGGCTAGATTCAGAACGGGATGTTGGTCTGCTTGGTAGTATGTCGCTGAGGGTCAGATCCACATATATGCAACACCAACCTCAGGGTGATCCTAGAACTATTTATAGGACTGCGTGCTGTCACTTTTGTGAGCTCTTATCTCTTTTCCTGAAGACCCTTCTTCCGTGTCCTCTGACTAGGAAACAAGGGTTTCCATATCTCTGTTTTTGGATATCCCCCTCCCCAACACACAAATTCATGGGAATAGAAGAGTTCCCCATTTCTTGGAGTTTGGGGTCCCTCTCCAACCACTGATAGTGTCACCAGTGTCACAACTACTGCCTGAGACAGGACCAGAGAGAAAGAAAAATACTAACTAGAGAATGTCCCCTGCTTCTAACATTTAGGAAGGCCCCTTTTACTGTGCCTCAGACCAAAACTGGAAAAGATTGTGTTTGTAGTGCTTTTGATCTTCACTTAATATGCTCTTCTGGGTTGGGGGCTGCCCTTGAGTCCAGGCCGGGAGGTACTACAGGAATCAAATCCAGGAATCTCACTGCCCAGCTAGTGGTATTTCTAGTTATGGTTTCCTCCCCAACTTACCTGCTCCCGCTTTCAGAGTCCTCAAAGAGCTCTTTTGTACATTTTGTCCAGATTTTTAAGTTGCATTTAGTGGGAGAGACAGAATGGTCTCTGCTTACTGTCTTTACCAGAACCAGAACATAGTTACCATTTTAATCTTATAACTATTATTCATGTGTTTCAGTTAAGAGTTTATTACATATCCATTTTATACTAGACTATTGTAAAAGTGGCTAATATTAAAGTACTTAGGGAGATCACCAGTAGAGATGGGATGGAGGGATGGAGATCGAAAGTAAACAGTTTCCTATTCTTTAATAGTGAACAGCTGGGTTATTAATCTTAGAGATTTTGATACATTTCTGCTTCAGATTTGACTTTATTGCTTGTGACTGAGGGAGATAAGATCTGGTTTATCATCAGTTAATTTATTATCCAAAATACAAGGGATGGGTATGTATCTTCTTAAGACATGATTATAAGGAGTATAATTACATATGTAATTAAAAATAAGATCTTAAAATAAGGAATAATTTATTATTATATACTTGTTTCCCAGGTCTTAGAAAAATACCCTAATACACCCATGAGTCATAAAGAAATTCTTCAAGTTATCCAGAGAGAAGGACTAAAAGAAATCAGGTGAGTTATTTAAATATTATTAGTAATGGCCATAATACCTGAGTAGCATATTTGGTAGTATGTAGTAGTACATTTTAGTCCTGAGTATTATTCAGTAATTAAATGCTTAGTTGTTATTCAGTAATATTCAGTAATTAAGTGTTTCCGACTCATTGAGCCGTCAGGTCTTAGAAGTTGTTACGTCATAGAGTTATAAAATCAAAAGAAAGTTGAAAAAAATTTTCAGTGAGAAATAGGATTGCTGTCTCCAAGCCCATGCATGCCCTTTATTTCTTGGCCATCTTCAAGCCTTCATCTATCACTGTAGGCTTTTGATTTAATGAGCTTGATCACTAGCTGTAAAAATTACTCTAGTGTAGGGACCAGCAGATGGCATAATGATTACGTCCCTGGACTCCCATGTGCCCGGCAGCTTAAACTCACGCCGGGCACATGTGCATGCGTGCCCCAAATCCTGAGGCAAGAATGGAGGGGAAGTGATTGCGGTGTGGCCATACCCCGTGGGGCGTGATTTCTCACTTTCTGTCTCTCTGGCGAGCACACATGCCTATAGCAAAAATCTCTCAAATAAAAATTAATGTAGGGAGGGACCAGCAGTTGGCATAATGGCTATGTCCCTGGACTCCCATGTGCCCGGCAGCTTAAACTCACGCCGGGCACATGTGCATGCGTGCCCCAAATCCTGAGGCAAGAATGGAGGGGAAGTGATTGCGGTGTGGCCATACCCCGTGGGGCGTGATTTCTCACTTTCTGTCTCTGGAGAGCGCACGCGCCCTATAGTGAAAAACCTCTCAAAAAAAAAAAAATTAGTGTAGGGAGAAAACTAGAAGTACACAGATAGTATAGGAAAAAGTAACCCTGACCACAAAAAATAAAATGGAAAAGATAAATAGGCAGTATATATTTGTCACATAATAGTCTTATGTTCAAATATAATAGACTAGGCTCAATTAATATAGCATCAAAAATAACACATACTTTAATTTCTGAAAATTTTTTTATATTCCAATAGCATATAGTACTTGTTCGTAATCAGTGTTCTTTATTATCAAGAAATGTTAAAATATGTTAAATGTGGTTTGTTTATTAAGATATAAATTTGGGAATCTATATTAGAGATGTTTTCATTAAGATAGGAAAAGTCTGTGGTGCTTTAAAACTGCTACTAGTAGTTCTGAACTATGGGAGATAGTGCATAACCTCCTTAGGGAGAGAGTTCAGAATTTGGGGCATCTATTTTTTATTGTCACAGTGACTCGGGTGGGACTTACAGTGGCATTTAATGGCAAGTAACAAGGATGCTAAATGTCTTGTGCGGTTCAGTCCTTCACTGAGTAGTTGTTCAGCTCAGGTGCCCTACATTTCTCATTGAGAAGCAGTGAGCTGAGCTTAAGCATTTGTAAATGGACAACAGTATATTCTTTTTCTTTTTTCCCCAATTTATTTATTTGCATTCATTCACTGTACATCATTACAGCATACGAAATGAGATTTTCCATCTAGAGTACACTGTATATTGTCTCAATCAAGCACATCAACAAATATGTTATTCTTAGCAAATGATCTTCCATTTCTTGTTTTCTGTATGTTTTGCTTTTTCCCCCATCCTTGGTTCCCTATCTCTTACCCTCTGCCACCTCCTGTTCTCCTCCCATACTGTCTCTGTTATCTATGTTTGCTTTCTATACCATTTCCCCCCCACATTTTATTGAATCACCAAAGACCCTGATCAATCCAAATACCCTCCTAGCAAACACATGTGACACACACATTTCCATGAGCACAAGTCTAACTTTACGTATCCTATAAAGTAGCACCTAACTGGGGCTACATATCCTACTGCAGTCATTGAATAGATATATATTTTTTTTCCTGAAACTTTTTTTTGTAACTCAATTTACATTCCTTCCCTAAGCATCATCACAGCACACAAAATGCGATCTCCCATCCAGTACACACTGCATAGTGACTCAATCATGCACATTACAAAAAAAAAAAAATTTCCAATTCTAGTTCCTAGAATTATTTCCACCCCTTTCTGACCCTCTGTCCCTTCCCACCCTCCTCTCACACCACCTCCAGTGTCCAAAATTGTCCTCCATTCCCTTCCCACCCACATTGCATTGATCACACAATTTCCTACATAACCTAACTACTTTCAAAGGTGAGTTCACTCATTACTACTAAGA